TGAGTTGCCGCCATGTGATTGGCTGATTAGAAATTAAGTGTTAACGAGCAGTTGGACAGGTGTACCTAATAAAGTGGCCGGTGAGTGTATTTATAGATGATGGATAGATAAAATATGTGGACGTTAACAATACTGAAAGAAATTGGAAGTTAGATGTTTTTAAATCTCTGCCAACAGAATCTAAAATATTTAGGAAATGCCTTAAAAAAATTTACATTAGTCATTTTCTAATGAAAGACACGTAATTTTACATATTTGTTTCTCATAAAGAATTGAGAATCTTTGCACAGATTATAAAAAGCTGTGCAGCTGTTTGCAAATAAACATTTGATAGTTTTTTTCAGCTTCGACAAGTTTTGATCTCTTTATAACCACTCATGTTCCATGATGTTAAAAATCTGTATGTTGCATCAATTTTTATATCTTTATGATAGCTTGCCTCAATTTTTTAACATATTTTTTCAGAGCTGAATGTGCGAAGAACCATTTCTTATTCTGTCATAAAACTAAACTTGAGATTAGGTTTTACTTGACAAAACCCACAGGATGATACATGCATGTGAAATGCTTTTATTTAAAATCATACTATGGTCAGGTTAGCGGCATTTAAATTTCAAGCGAAAACATACATAAATCAGAACTGACCTTGACGGTGGGAATAACAAGCTGGAATGACAGATCTGACTCAGAAATAACATTTTTTCCTGCTTTAAACTCTAAATGTTAAAGAAAATTTAACCCTAAAACAGAATGGCCCCGTTATTTTACTATTCATTGTTCTAACGTCTTTAAATATAACAAAAAAAATGTTGATCCTTTGAGTACAGCTGAGGGTGATTGAGTATTTCTGATGCAGATGAATGAAATAAAAACAAATTCTTCAGGGTTATTAAAGGCTTAATGAGTCCTGATGTTCAATGAAATACAAAAAACAATAAAACAATGAGTCCAAAAACTGCAGCTCAGCCAGAACATCCTCTGCACCCACAGTGAGTGCACTCAATGATCCTTCCCTGTGGAGGACAGAAGATTTTATTACAACTTCAAACTAATTTTAATAGTATAGATTTAAACTGAAATAAGTTTTACCCTTTAAGTGAAAATTTATGAAGTTCAAGCAAACTTACAACTTCCAACTTGCTTTTAGGAACTCTGCAAATGCAGTTTGTTCCAAAGTTGGTGTCTCGTGTTTGAATGCATCGCAGGCAGCACAGGTTCTCGTAGCCCTGCTTCTTCCACTTGGCAATCAGGTTCTTGTCTGCGTAGCCTTCCTTTATACAGTACTCATACAGTTCTGCCAAGGGAAAAGTAATGACAATAAATAACCACAACTCAAAGTACAGGTTCAGTTTTAGCCATGTGGCTATTTGCCTCAACAAAAAWGTAAAATATGAAAATATTTGATTAAATTTAATGAATTAAATATGAAAAAAAAAATGAAATAAAATTTGTGATAACAGCTGGAAATGTTCCAAACTATGTGCATCTCTATGAAGAAATGTCAAGGCATGGCTTTTATTTGCTGAATTTATGTAGAGTTATGCTTCATTTATCAAAATTAAATGCTATTTATATTTACAAGGATTTACGTTTTCAAATTTAAACAACATTTCRAAGATTTAGAGTAAAACCTAAAGTTTAAGTGAGATGAGACAGACAAATGAAACAAGCATAAAAGAAAAAGACGTGGTTCCATCTACCTCTGCTTATGGCTTTTCGTTTGTAGAAGAGGTCAAAGATGTATCGYCTGCGCTGATGATGGAGCCTAAAAATGGGCCAGAGGGACTCCACCTTTCGCTTTCCCTCATGAGGATCTGTTTCGGCTGAGGAACAAACAAAAAATGAATAAAATAAAATAAATAAAAATTWAAAGAACATTATAAAAATAACTGGAAAACGTTGGGATGTAAAGAAAAACAGATATTGCACAAAGCAGTGGTACAGAGAAGATGTGGATCCAGTAAAAACGAGARGTCATCAATACTAGGATGCTGACATGTTTACCTTAATTTGGTTAAAATGAGAGTGTTCTTCTCTGAATAATCATCTTATGACTATCTTCATTTTAAACACAGTGAATGAGTATATCATTGTTCACTGTTTTAGATTCGGTTCAACATAAAAAGACTGCTGGTATTTGATAACCCAACACACGCAGATAACAAGTATTCACCATTTACATAAGACTGAACTTAGRTTTAAAACCTTCAAACCCTCAAGAGCTGTGTTTCACTGCGACCAGTCAAGTGTTGGTTTGATTATAGAAAAAAAAAATACGGACGAGTTGAAACCTTCACGGCGTACAGACATTATTCGATTAAAAACAAACCAACCTTCTCTCATTTTCTGATCCAACTCGTCCAAAGTGGGTTCAATTAGTTCCCAACCGTCAGGAGGCGGCTTTCGGCTCCTCTTAACTTTCGGCATTTTGCTTGTTTTGTACAAAATTCAACAAAGATTTCTGGTGGTATTTTTGATGCTACCAGTCCCAACGGAACCCCAGTCCGGCGAATGAATTTTACGTCATCATGTAGGGGCCTAAATCGTTATTTAATAACGTCACCGAGTAAAAATAGCACTTTTAATGCGTGTTTATAACATTTAAATTATATATTCAATTGGCCCAACGTATGTAATTATACAAAAACGTGTTTGGGCTGAAATAGTTATATTTTTTCAAAGAGATGAATGCTTTTCAATCGTTTTTGGCATGTTGCATCACTTTAGCGCATTTGTAAATTGCCTCAAAATAAAGCAATTTCGTTTTATTTATTTTATTATAATGAGCGCTAGAGATCATTTAATTGGCAGATATTTTAAACTTATTTTTTATTTGGTTTATATCCACAAAAAATAGCCCTAAAACTATCAGAAATGTCTCGACCAAAACATTTGTCGTCAGGCAAAATCTTTGAACCACTAAATGTAGCCGCAGCTTGTCGCGTCTGTTTAGCCAGCTGTCAGTTTCTGCTGGTGCCTTAAGGTTTATGTTTCCCCCAATTATTTACCCATTTTAAGAACTTCTTATAAAGGTTTCCTCCGCTAAAATGCCAAAAGGAGGTAAGTTTAACCGCAAAACTTCAGATAATTACGTTAAAACTCGTTTTGTGTCTTTTGGCCAGTCATCAATAACAGAACAGCCTGGCTCGTTTTCATCACACCGGTCCGGTCATTAAGTTACTACGCTTCGCTTGTGTTGAAAACAACAAACCACCGCTGACAGCGGCGTTTTACAGAACTAAACGGTGTCGTCTGGTAGCCTTCTGTTCGCTGTCCACCACCTGTGCTGTGCAAAGTGTGTTCAGATGKGCCCGTGTGATGTCATGCCTCATCTTGTTTCAGGGAGAAAAGGTGGCCACAAGGGTCGCGTGCGCACGTACACCAGTCCAGAGGAGATAGACGCTCAGATGAAGGAGGAAAAAGAAAGGAAAAAGGTTYGTGAGGGGCTGGATACTAAGTGTCTTTTATTAGGATTCACACAAATGTAGCCAACACTTGTCATAAAACAATGAATGAGGAGTTTTTCTCAGAGTAATTTGTTACAGAATTCTTTAGAAAGACAGGAGATCTACTGTAAGATGAGTAAAGCATCATTCACGTGTATGAATTGAATGTTGAATACAACAAATTAAATCAACTGCTCTGCCCTTGGCATTCTTTCCTATGTATTTGATTCCAAACTCATAAACATCAGCTGTCTGTGTTGTTTTTGTCTGAAAGCATGAACAAGAAGGAGGAGAGGACGAAGGAGCAGCTCAGAAAGACGTGGCAGAAGAGAAACTACCGGGATCCGACTCAGATGACAGTGATGATGAAGATTCTCAGGTATCAGTGCACTGGTTTCACCTACCATCAATTAATAGTTTTGTGTTTGCTGTGCCCATGGTAATAATACAGTAATTCTTCTCAAAATTATGTTTGCAGAGGAAGAGAGCAGGCGTGGAGGGCTTGATAGAAATTGAGAACCCTAARAGAGTGGCTCAGAAGTCCAAGAAGGTGACGCAGATTGAACTGGAAGAGCCCCGGCAGTTATCAAGGAGAGAGAGGTGTGTGTTTCCAGTCTCTCCTGTTATAGTGGTTTAGTTTATTTACACAACATTCATTTAAGAAAAAAAAACATAAGGAAAAAAACTGAACCATTTTCAAGTGTCTGGCATAAACTTTTTGTGATAAATACAAATGCGTTGTTGGAAAGATAACATTCATAACATATTGCAAATAAATTCACACCACTGAGAAGAACCGCTGTTGATCAGTAACAGGAAGTGACGACAAAGAGGAACGCCTGCATGTAAACAGAGTAGTTCTACAGTGGCTAATAGCAGAAGAATCTGATGTTTCTTCCGATTATTTTGAGTCATTAGAGAGATATGAAGAAGAGTTAGTTCATATAAACAAAGACCAGGAAGTCCCTCCTTTCAAAGAATTACATTTGTCGTCACTTCCTGTTTCATCTCAAAACAARGTTATGCCAGTTATGTGACAAAATGMGTAAAATTTTGAGTGTTATGCGAAACGTAATGAATATTTTGATGTTTTCATTCACTATATTGTATTTTTAGAAAACGCATGAGTTGGAGCAGAATAAAATCTGATAAAAACTTAAAGACTCAAGTTGTTGTTTGTAAAAGCACACCACTGGGATTATTGTTAGCATGAAGCTCCAGAACAGAAAGTTTAACATTGACTCAGTTATTAAAATGTTATAATTTAGGATTTATAATCCCATTCAAGATGCTTTTTTTCATGACCTATTTTCCTGAACAGAGAAGAGATTGAGAAGCAGAAAGCGAAGGAACGCTACATGAAGATGCACTTGGCGGGGAAGACGGACCAGGCCAAAGCCGACCTCGCTCGCCTCGCTATTATCAGGAAACAGAGAGAGGAGGCAGCAAAAAAGAAAGAAGAGGAGAAAAAAGGTGGGGAGYTTTGGGTACTAGCTCATTGCACGCACGCATCCTCGTCAGCGGTGGAGGTGTTTATAGGCTACTTGGCTCTTACTTTGTAGATTTATAAAAGGACACGTAGCAGTATGATATTTCTCCACATTATTCTAATTATTTGAATTCCTGTTTTCGTGGGTTTTATGAGCTGGAAGCCCAAATTATGTAAAAATAAACAAATAAGTACTTGAAATTGTTTAAACTGTGGGCCCTGAATCTATAACTTATGAAAGTTTTAACTTTTTGAATTGAATTGTGGAAATTAAACATGATATTCAATTTTTTCGGAAAGCTCTGTATAAAAATACATAAATACAACTGGTCCTTTATTCTGAAACTGTAGTCATAGGGAAGCTTTGTCAGTTCAACATGTTTGGAGTAGTGTGGTGTTCTAAGCTTTATAGACTTTTTATGAAGATTTATAAAGCTTAGAACTCAGAATAGAAGTCCAGTTTTTGTTTTTTAACTTTTTTTATCATGACGATGACTGAGAATCTTCACCAACATTATAAATATAAAATTTGGCAACAGTGGCAGCAGTTGGCAGAGCTGTTGTTTTTCAGCAAAATGGTTGCTGGATCAAATCCCAACCTGGGACTTTTCTGGGTGGTGTTGACATGTTCTCCCTCTGCATGAATATTTCCAAGGTACTCCAGTTTCCTCTCACAGACCAAAGATATGCCTTTAGCTTCACGGGTACACACTGTAGGTCTCAAACAAATTCTTGCTTTGTAAATGTTACTGTTTTGAACAACATCATGTTCAAGTCTGAGTAACTTAAACCCGGCTGTTGAAAGTGGGCCAGTCTGTCAGGAACTCCCGGGCCACATTTTTCCTCCCCAGTCCGCCACTGTCTGGGCTCATAGTTGTCGAGACTTTCTGAATCTGTCAGGTGTGTCACTGAAAATAAAAGCCTTTCCAGCTCYGAAAAGAAGTGGAAGTTCTTTCATGAAGCTTTCTGCAACAGCGCCGTGATTTATGGGTTTACCATGAATTTTAAAACCTGAGCTTGTCATTTTTAGATTCTTAAATTTAATTAAAACCAACAGTTTCCAAACTTTTATATTCAGATTCACAAATGTTTTACAGTTAAAGTAAATATTTATCAAATAATAAATAATGTTACAACTAGTCGGGGTTCCCCTTGAAATTGTTTCTGAGACCCACGGTGGGGCCCTGAGTCATGGTTTCTATGTATTAATCAGAAAAATCTGATTTTACTAAAGACATCACAGTCTGAACACTTCAGAGTTTACAGAAGCGAGAGCTTTATTAGTGACTAGATAAGAGATTCAAAGAGATTCAAATGACTGATAAAAAGTCATTTATGTTTGCCAAATCTTCACCTTGTTTCATCTGTACGTATCTCTGTTACTCACGACCAGTCAGAACTCCTTTTCAAACTGWCTGAGTGGAGAATTAAGAACGTGGTGATGATGAATCTGATGTTTAAATGTAATCCTCAAGTTAGTTTTACAGTATACACTGAGCTTGAGATCAATATGTTAACTAATCAACCCTAAATCCAGATCTGAAATAGCTGCATAGTTTCCAAAATAAAAGCTTCTTTCATAAAACAGTTTTGGTGAAATAAACACAGACCAGCCTGTCCTTACGTTCCTTCTGGCCGTTCAGAAATAAAGRGAACTTTACGGAACCAAAAGAGGCGTGGATTCAGAAACTCACACGAGGCGACCAGAAAACATTTAAGTCTCGGACTGAGGCACCTTCTGAAGGAGCTTGATGTTTGTACGTCCTGATGCGCAGCATGCCGAGCTCACATCGTCTCTGTTTCCATTCTCTTTCAGCAAAAGAAGCGGCGGCGGCAGCAGCGGCAGCAGCTAGAGGTGTAAACTCCCTCTCCCTGAAATGATGCAGAGTATTTATCAGAAACGTTCTCGCTCCTTCATGGACTGGCCCAGTACGCGTTTGAATAATTTTAAAGGAAGCTCTCAGAGGAGTATTTGACTTTACTGTCACTTTGAAGATTTAGGAAATGGTTGGAACACAGCTCTGTCGCAGATGTTGGAACATGGAGTAAAGGCCTCGTCTCCTGCAGGAAGCAAAGCTACAAACAAACGAGTCCATTGAGCTTCACACACTTGGAATGAACCCCATGATTTTATCCATGCTTTACTTATCATTGTACAAATTCCAACTTTGCTAACTGAGCTTTGTCACTTTTTTTTCGATCTTACATTGTATATAATTGACTCATAAAGAAAACAGATTAATATTATTATTCAAGTAATACCTGTCTGTTGGTTATTTCTTACATTTAATGGAGGAAACCTGTGATGTTAAACCAGCTGCAGTCATTTTCCAGCTTCATCCGTCGACGTGAAAGATTGATTTTATTTTAAAGGCTGGATCCAATCTGGTTTAGAGCTTGTTTTCCCCAGCCTCAGCTGCAGGAGTCCACTGATACGAGAAAAGGTTGAGTCAGTATTTGAGGTATTTACTTTGGAAAAATAGCTGAGACATTTAAAAGAAACATATGCTATAATTAGGTTTCAATTGATTTTGTCTTTTATTTTAAGGCAGTGTGTAATGATTCAGGACTTCAGTATTTGTAACAACCTGACAGAGGCCTGGAGAATAAAAGACCACACATCTACCCATACACACACTAAAATATTTTTATTTATTTGAAAAAGTTTATTCATTTAAAACAAAACANTTTATTTGAAAAAGTTTATTCATTTAAAACAAAACATAAATTCAACATACAACAAAAAAAACAAAAACAAATCATAAATTAAATGAAAGGTGACAGAAGAAAAACATCTTATGATTTCTGCCCCTTTTTCTCAAATAAATAAATTCAATTAAAAAATCTTCAATTTACAACGTACAAAAAAGATTAAAGAAAAACAATAAAGGTTTACTTCCTTCTTGAGTAACAATTTGTGCCTTATACCCATACATATTTCTCCAACAGATTTACCTTTATCAATCTCTTAAATATACACATTGATCTGGCATTTTTATCGTCATCCTCCAGGTTATTCCATACTTTAATTCCCTGGATTGAAATACTCCTTTCCTTCAAACTGGTTCTAACTTTAGGTCTCACAAACATTTCTATGCCCTTCAAATTGTAACAACTCACTCTTTTAACAAAATGTAACTGGATGTTTGAAGGTAATGTATTTTTATGAGCCCTATACACAACTGACAAAATAATATAATCAACCAAATCATAGAATTTCAATAACTTCAACTGATGGAACAATGAATTTGATGGGTGATAGTAATGTTTTCTGCTAAGAATTCTTACAGCTCTTTTCTGTAAAATAAAAACAGGATTTGTTATTGTTTTACACACTTTTCCCCAAAAATTAACACAATAAATTAAGTGTGGAACATTTATTGCATTATACAACATAAACAGTGCTTTATCATTAAATAAGTCCTTTACTTTGTACAATACCGCAATGTTTTTGACTGTTTTTGTTCTTAAATGATTTATGTGAGGCCTCCATGTCAGTCCCTCGTCACCCAGAAACTTTACCTCACTGACTCTACAGATCTTGACACATCACCTCTAAATGGAACATCAGTAGTTTTCTTTCTATTACTGAATATCATATAATTAGTTTTATCTAAATTTAATGATAATTTATTAAGTGTAAACCAGGTTTCTATTTTAGCTAATTCTGTTTGCACCAACATCCATTCTATATCGTTACCAAAACAAACAAATGTACTGTCATTGCAAATAAAACACATTTGAACGACCCTGACGCATTTACTAAATCATTCACATATAAAATAAATAACTTTGGCCCAAGTACAGTACCTTGAGGCATTCCACGTGTGATATTACCCAATTCAGATCTTATATCATTTATTTGTACAAACTGTTTTCTGTCCTTTAAATAACTAGATACCCACTGTAATGCTGGTCCTCTAATACCGTATTTCTTCAATTTTTCAAGTAGAATGGTGTGGTCAGTGGTGTCGAAGATTTCTTCAAGTCAACATAAACACTTGCACAGTATTGTTTTTGATCGACAGCAGTAGTTATTTGCTCTACTAAGTCCATGAGAGTCATTGATGTGGAATTATTTGCTCTAAATCCATACTGACTGCTACTTAAAATATTTTGTTTATCGAGAAATTGATCTAATCTAGTCACAAACAACTTCTCTAAAATCTTTGAAAACTGTGGTAACAAAGATATTGGTCTGTAATTGTTGAACACACATTTCTCACCATTCTTAAGGAGAGGAATTACTTTGGCTACTTTCATGTTGTCTGGAAATATAGGCCTACCAGTTGATGATGATAAAGATAAGATAAATAAGATAAGATAAGATAAAACTTTATTGATCCCACAGTGGGGAAATCTGCACATTACAGCAGCTCAAAACAGGACAGGGTGAGACAGAATAAAGAAAGATAAGTAAAAGAAAAACAAAAAAACACTACACTCGGGATATATAACATTGTACATATATCTAGTACAGTACATAAATGAATATATACTGTATGCAGGTGCATGGTACTGATGCCAGTGTAGGTGAATTGTCCAAGTGACTGATAACATCATGATGTGTTCTACAGTCTAACTGCAGTTGGAATGAATGACCTACAGAAACACTCCGTCCTGCAGCGAGGATGTTTAAGTCTCTGACTGAAGGAGCTGCTCAGCCCCCCCACGGTTTCATGCAGAGGGTGGTGAGGGTTGTCCATGATGGCTGTCAGCTTTGCCAACATCCTCCTCTCACCCACCAGGACATTCCAGCACAGAGCTTGACCTCCGTATCAGTTTGTCCATCCTGTTCCTGTCCCTTTCAGTACATCCAGCCCCACAGCAGACCACTCCATAGAAAAGGGCAGATGCTACCACCGTGTCATATAATGTCTTTAACAGAGTCCTGCAGACACCAAAGGACCTCAGTCTCCTCAGTAGGTGGAGTCGACTCTGGCCCTTCTTATACAAGACGTCTGTGTTTGTGGTCCAGTCCAGCTTGTTGTTGAGGTGAACACCCAGGTACTTGTAAGAGTCCACTGTCTCAATGTCTTTCTTACATATATATGTAAAAGGTTCAATCACATGATTCATTATTTCCTTTACAAACATCATGTCCATGTCCACACGGTCTTTTGATCTTTTGTCTGCAAGATTTTTTTTTACAATATTCATAATTTCTTCTTTGTCAATTCCATTAAGGAAAATACTGTCAGTACAACCCATAACTGTGTGATWCACATTATTATCTACTCTTGGTAGCTGCAAGGCATGGACCAACATTCACAAAATAATTATTAAATCCATTCACAATTTCATTCTGATCATTAATTTAATTTCCATCTTTTACAAAATGTTGTGAAATGTCTGATCTTGTTTTATGGCTCTTTAAGACACTGTTCATTACTCATTATTTTACTTTTACTTAATAAATCACTGTAATATTCCTTCTTACATTTTCTTGTAATCCAAACCAACTTATTTTTATATTTCTTGTATTTCTCTACTGACTCTTTTGTTCTTAATTTCAGGAAGCATGAAAACAAGTAATTGTTTTTTTAGAGGCATTTCTCAACCCTTTAGTCATCCATGGTTTGGCAACAATATTTCTTTTTGTATATGTGTTTTGCACACAATTTCTTTCCTACAGAGCTCTCAAAATGTTCATAAATATATCAAATGATTTGTTCACATCTTCAACATAGACATCTTTCCAATTTTGTTTTCCCAAATCTTTCTTTAATTTATCCAGAGCCTTTTTTGATGTGTTTATTATTATTTTTTCTTCATTGTAACTGCTTTTGTACTGTATTGATCATTTTTATGAATCGTGAAAATGGGTAAATGATCAAAAATATGATGCAGAACGTGATAAAAGCACAATAAACTCAGCAGGTGTGTATGTGCACAGGCAAGCTTCCTGTAAGTAAAATACATATTTTAGTATGTTTGTAAAGGTACTAAATGTTCACTTATTGGTTTGTTGAATATGTTTCTTTCTGTTTCAAATCACATTCTGCACTAAAATAAACTTTGCAATGCAAATCTCCTTAAGTTTAACTTAGTTTTATACCAAACATGTTACTAATCAACACAGTAAGTTCCAACTTTTATGAATTGCACTGTTTTAATGTCTAAAAAGAAATGGAAAGAAATACTAATTTATTTAATTTTAACTATGTTGGTATGTCCATAATACACACATATAGGATAACATATTTATTCATTGTTGGACTTTTTATTTTTAGAAAATTCTGACATACTGTTTTGGGTTTCATGTTATTTCTGCAGTTTTGAATTTGAAGAGATAACTACGTAAATATGTTTATGAGAATGGCAGTTCTTAAAATTTTGGTTATTTTTTTTCTTTAATTTAATTTAGTTTTAGTTAAGTGCTTTTTATTGTGTTTTAATTGTTGTTTTTATATCTGTGATCTGTTTTATTGTTTTTAATTATTTTTGCTTTCTGTGAAGCACTTTGTGATGTTTGTCTGTGAAAGGTGCTGTAGAAATAAAGTTTACTTTACTTACTTTACTTTAAAGTCCATGTGTAGATACAGTTTGTTACATGCCTCCTTGTACCTCTCCAGTAATACAGATATGGTGAATTAAGTGAGATTTATTACTGATATGAAATTTAAACATGCTTAGCCTCACTCTAGACTGGATTGTTTAATGACAGTTTAGTTTGGACTTCTGTTATTGGCAACTTACTGTCATTTCTAGATATTTAATAGTTTTCTATTTTCACATCACTTCATGTAATTATTTTTTACACATCACATCATTCTTTTTTTTGTTGTATATATTTTCTAATCATTCGTTTTTTATGGAAGCCCATTTCCGCCACCCTGATAAAAAATAAAACTTGTATCTCATAATTATGACTTAGCTATCTCATTATTATGACTTAGCTATCTCATTATTATGAAATGCTATCTCATAATTATGAGATACTATCTCATAATAATGAGATAGCTATCTCATAATTATGAGATACTATCTCATAATAATGAGATAGCTATCTCATAATTATGAGATACTATCTCATAATTATGACTTAGTACCTCATAATAATGAGATAGCTAAGTCATAATTATGACTTAGCTATCTCATAATTATGACTTAGCTATCTCATAATTATGAGGTACTATCTCATAATTATATGTTATCTCATAATTATGAGGTACTATCTCATAATTATATGTTATCTCATAATTATGACTTAGCTAAGTCATAATTATGAGATAGTGAGATAGCTAAGTCATAATTATGAGATAGTATCTCATAATTATGAGATAGCTATCTCATTATTATGAGATACAAGTTTTATTTATTTTTTATCAGGGTGGCGGAAATGGGCTTCCACAGTTTTTAAGTCATTACTAAATGCAAAAATTATATTTTATTTGTCACAAAAGGATTGCTGCGTTAACATTTTGTAGTATCAAAGTTTTCATTTATTTAAACTATTTTTAACAACAAAAGTTTCTTCATGTGAAAATGAGAGGAGCAATGAGCACGTGGCTGGATGTTGTCGCTGCAGCGGATGTTGTGACTCAAAGAGAAGAAGAAAAGGGCGCGTTCTGATTGGTGGAAAGTTTCGCGGACTTTGCTCTTCTGGTGCCCGAGCTATCTTTGTGCTCKGTGGACTGATTCCAGTTCATTACTCACACTGACTGCACTGTTAAACTTCGTCGTCTGGTGAGTCGTTTTTATATTTAATCTCCGCAATGAGAAGCTAAAAACGAACGTTTGCGGAAGTGAAAATAAAGTGATTTAAATGAAATGCAGGCGAAAACGACATGTGACATAATTGTGCTCACGCGCACAGTTTGGCTGCAGCTGCTCTGACATATGGCTCCCATTAGCTCGATGTTCCAGTTTTACTAGTGTTACATGCTCTTGTGCACATTTGAAGACTGCACGGCTCACTTTTAAGTTTAAAATAGGTAAAAGACCTGGCTATGAATCGCTGCAGAGACAGTTGTGTCACATGCAGAGATTATCACCCCGGATTATGCGTCTCCGCTCCGCCGCGCTGCGGTCCGGTGCGCAGTTCTCAGCCGCTCGGGTTCTGACAGGAGTTCAGATTATTGCTACAGATCTGTGTACTGATACAAAGGTCAACAGATGAGACTCACTGAACTGAGGGGTTGGATCATTCTTATACCACTCTTTGTCTTATGCTGTTTGTTACTAAACTAAATCCTAAAGGCTTTTATTTTTGTTTTATTTATTTACTTTTATTACCAATCATTTCCTTTAATGTCAGTCATGCATGGTGTTGTCTTAATATTGGTGTGGCTGTGGGATTATCTAGTTTTATTCTGTTTTTTATAAAATCAATCATTACCTCTACTCTTAATAGATTTCCAGTGTGTGACAAACAAGAAGAACCATGTCTGTAACAAATGGCCACAGTGTGAGTAAAGAAACATGGGACTCACACAACAAGATGTTGCTGGAGCCTCTGGCTGTCAACGACTCAGAGGTTTGTGTTTCTCAAGTTTTCACAATAAATTCATTTCTGAATACTGGTGATGAATAAGAGAGCCGGAGTTGAATGGTGTTTGTGTTCCAGGTGTTTTCCATCATAAAAAAGGAGAAGCACAGGCAAACGTACGGTCTGGAGCTGATAGCGTCTGAAAACTTCGCCAGCAGAGCTGTTCTCGAGGCTCTTGGGTCCTGCATGAACAATAAGTACTCTGAGGGGTATCCTGGCCAGAGGTACAATACCTAATTTAGTTTTAAATATATACAGCTCCTGAAAAAAATCAAGAGACCACTTTAAAATTATCAGTTTCTATGATTTTACTCTTTATAGGTATATGTTTGAGTAAAATGAACATTGTAATTTTATTCCATGAACTACTGACATGTCTGAAATTTCAAGCAAAAATTTTGTATTTATTTGCATGCAAATGATGACACAGAAGCAGTGCTTTCAGACCTTAAATAATGCACAGAAAACAAGTTCATATTCATTTAGAAACAACAATACATACATACATACATACATACATACATACATACATACATACATACATACATACATACATACATACATACATA